TTTTTTTTTTTTTTTTTTTTTCATTTAGCCTATTTTTTGTATGTTACGTTCTTTCAGCAATTACTGGAAGTTTCATGTCTTACCATCCCAAGCAATCATTTCATGTGCCTAGTCTGCTCTTAAGATGTTATGCATCATTTGGATACATATTCTTAAGGAATTTCAATATTCTAGAGCTTTCTTTCATATTTAGCTCAATTTTTTTAAATATATATATAAATATATAAATAGACACATATTCTAGAGCTTTCTTAGTGGTAAAAAAAAAGCTTCAAATAGCTAAAAGCTTCAACCAAGGAATTTTCAGTTCCATTGATCCTCTTCTATAATGTGCATTCATACGGGTTTTGTTTTTATGTCATACAATTGATTGAAATTATAGGTTTCAGAACATGCAAGTTGGTCAGGATGCTTCTATGTCAGGATTATCCAAGCTGCACTTGCTGCTGTTGGAGCTCCTGAGAGTTTGGTCGATGTGATAACAGGGTACACACTTTAATTTTTCATTTGAAATATCATCACGAGGCTGTTCAGTTGTCCACTTTAATATGATCTTTTATCAGGTTTGCTGAAACAGGTGAAGCTCTAGTATCTTCAGTAGACAAAATGATATTCGTTGGATCTACTGGTGTGGGTAGGATGGTATGAACTCTTTTTTTACTCTATTTTTTGGTTCTATCATTTATTGATTCAGTTGTTCAGGTGTTTCCAAATACATAATTACAGCAATCCACGCTGAGGCATGTTTCATAATAGGGAATGAGTTTGGAGGTTAAGCGAAAAAGTATCCATTGGATTAAAAGTTGCGGGGATGAGAACTACTTTTATTTTTTATTTTTTATTGTGTAGTTACGATTGTTTTGCAGCCAGGCTCAAAATTGATTACCGATGATATTGTTTACAAAGAATGAGAATCAAATATGAATTTGTGTGTATAAATAAATAGAGAACAAAGCAAAAAAGTGATGGGACTCATCAAACATGTTACACCGGAGAACATGTGGGGTCTGTTGGGATTCTTTCTCTATTCTATCTCTAGTTTATAAACAATGGAAAGAAGGATAGCAGGAAATGACTTTGATTATTGTAGACTAATTCATTTGCTTATTTCTACCATATAAAGTAATACTCATTCTTGTTTCCCCTTGAATTCTAGTTATTACACAATGGGGCTTTTATTTATAATCTTTTTAAAATAAAAGAGATGGAAAAAGTGACTTGTTTTCTAGCATCCACCTCTACTCTATGTGTTACATATTTGGCATGAATCCTCGCAGATAATGAAAAGTGCTGCTGAGACACTCATTCCAGTTACTCTTGAGTTGGGTGGAAAGGACGCATTTATCGTGTGTGAGGATGTAGATCTTGATCATGTATGAATACTCTCCAATTTTACTATATACAACTAGCTCGAGTAGTTTAGTTGATTTCATGTCATTGAGAACTGATGGGAGTTTCTTTACTTAATATAGGTTGTAAACGTTGCTCTCAGGGCTTCTATTACATCAAGTGGACATAATTGTACTGGAGCTGAGAGATTTTATGTCCACAAGAACATTTATTCTTCGTTTGTGGATAAAATATCAGAACGTGTAAAGGCTATTACAGTTGTAAGTATGAGTTCCTTTTTTTTATAGTAAAATTATGTCCATTCTTCTGCTGGGTATAAGGGATCTTGTGGTTTTTTTCAATTTCAAATTTCTACTTTTCATTCTGCAAATACGGGACATTTTGAAGGTATGTGGTTTCTTGCAAAATGGACATTAGGAATGGCAGCTGAAACTGAATTTATAACGTATGCTTCCACAGGGAAAAAAATTTCATGGTTCTTAGAAGTTTTTTTTGTTCTCACCGTACTCTTCATATGTTCTGTTGAAAGTTCTCAATTCAACGTTTAAAACCACACATGCAAATCAAATTAAGTGTAAAGAAAGAAAAGAAGGTTACTTAAAAGATCTCTTTGAAGCCAGTAAGAAGATTTGCAAGTACGGGATCTGCTGGAATTATTATGGTTTTAAGAAACTCTATATATACGAGGTAACAAATTTCCAAATGGTTAGAATACTCAACCATTGATAGAAAGAACCTATTCACTTTTAGCAGAAGCCGAAAAGGAAAAATCATTGGAAAATCTCAACAGCAGCATTTCCATAAGCCCTTTACTTTGGTGCTGCTAATTGTTGAATGCCTTACGGGCACATAAATTCTTATAAATTTGCTAAAAACTGGCATCTTCGTCTCCTGCCAATATTGTTGTTGTTTACGCTTCTAGTCTTTCAGCAAAATGTATTTGTTGTTGAATATTCATGCCTCATCTATTTTGGTGGTTGTATGCCATTGTGGTGCCATATTGTATCTATTGTAAGTGAGGATCTGGTTTCGACTAAGTCTTTAATTACCTGGAACAAATTATTTTGATCAAAATTTGAAGACTATTTTTTAATTGAGAGATGAAACTCTCTTCTTGAAAATGTTTTTCAGGGTCCACCATTAGCTGGGAAGTATGATATGGGTGCCATCTGTACGCAAGAGCAGTCTGAGAAACTTCAAAGCCTCGTAAATGATGCCTTAGACAGGGGGGCAAAAATTGTTGCTCGTGGAACTTTCGGACATTTACCTGAAGGTGCCGTTGATCAATATTTTCCACCTACCGTTATTGTTGACGTCAACCATACCATGAAATTAATGCAAGAGGAGGTAGCAATACTTGACATGCTCTTCTTTTATTGCGATAGACTTTTTGGTAGTCCCTTTTAGTCGGCCTATATTATATTTTGTTTGAATAATTCGTCAAATAGATCTTGGAACCCTACTTAATACTTGCTCTGACGACGTGCTGGTGCTGTTTGAATTCAGCTATTGGTCTTATAAAGAAACAAAAAAACAACTAAGGCCCATTTGATAATCATTTGGTTTTTGTTTTTAGCTTAATTTTCAACACTGTTACCACCTATAAGGTTCTTTAATTTGTTATCGACATTAAAAAAATGTTTTTATAATCCCTTAAAAACTCATTTTATTTTTGGAATGTTGCCAAAAGTTTAAATCTTTCTTTGAGAAAGATGAAGGTCATGGTAAACAAATTGGAAACAAAGATAGTTTTCAAAAAAATAAAAGACAAACACAATTGTTATGGAATGTGATCTAAAGTTTTCTTTTTAAATTTTAATTTTATGAAATTGGTTCTCTAGTAAAATTAGTGTGGTATATAACTAACCATCTTATCTTTTATATTACATTTGCAGCTCAATTGATCTCTAAGAAAATATCTTCTGGCTCCAAATTGACCTGTAATTTATTGCTCAACTTTCAAAGCTATGAAAATGTGCTAACTGAGTGGTGGAATACAGGCATTTGGACCAATCCTGCCCATAATGAAATTCAGCACAGATGATGAGGCCGTGAGGCTTGCAAATGATTCAAGATTTGGGCTCGGCTGTGCTGTCTTTTCTGGCAGTCAGCGTCGTGCCAAGAATATTGCTTCGCAGATACGTTCTGGAAGTGTTGCAATTAATGACTTCGCCACAAATTATTTATGTCAGGTAAAATTCATTCATGCTTTATTTATGTTTACTAGTTCATGTTTGGCAGGCTTGTTGTACACTTATTGGTCATTTGTTGGTACAGTCATCAAACACATGTTGTTTCTGACGGCGAGGCACTTATCTGTTTTACCTATTTATATTAGTTTGTTTGAGAAATTAGTTGATATGAAATATAAGAAGAAAAACAAGCTTTGTGCGACAAAAACGTTATATTTATTTTTTTACGTGAAATCCCACATCGATTGGAGAGAGGAACGAGTGCCAGCGAGGACGCTGGCCCCGAAGGGAGGTGGATTGTGAGATCCCACATCGGTTGGAGAGGGGAACGAAGCATTCTTTATAAGGGTGTGGAAACTTCTCTCTAGAAGATGCGTTTTAAAACTTTGAGGGGAAACTCGAAAGGGAAAGCCTAGAAAAGAAAGCTTAAAGAGGACAATATCTGTTAATGGTGGACTTAGACTTGGTTTATTACATTACAGCGGTATTAATTTTTTTAAAAAAATTCATTTCTGATGATGAGATTTAGGTTTTATAGATAGTTTTAAATGATTCGATAGGAAGTTAGTGTCACTAATGAAGAGCTAACTAGTAGCTTAATATTGCTCGTGTAGCATCCTCCCCTTTGTGAATAAGGAAAACCTTTGTGGCCAGCAGGTGTCTGCTATTTTGTGGAGGCTTTGAGGAGAAAGGAACAATAGGACTTTGCTAGGTTCCATATGTTCCTTTAGGTTGCCTCCGTCTTTTGTGGACTTTTTTATTTTTATGTTTTTTTGTATGTTATTTATTATTTACTTTTTCTCAATAAAATCCTAGTTACTGTAGAACAAAGGAAAGAAAAATACTTTTGAGTATCTAAAAATGGCTTTTAAATTAATTTTAGAAACTATCTTTGTTTATTAAGATTAAAAAAAAAAAACGCTTTTGATCTGAATTATTAATTTCTTCAAAAAGGACTTGAAGAAAAATTAATTTTGTTAAAAACATTTTTTTTTCACACATTATTTCAAACACGCTAAATATCTTATGTATTGCTCGTCTCGATGTCATGATTTTTCTTTTATAAACCATGTTGTCGTGCTCGTATCATTTCATTTGTGTGCTGCATAACTGGAAAGGAATCCTTTTCTTTTTTGGAAGAATTTGTTGGTGTTATAGGACAATTACCTGTATTGAATCTAACAGATAGAGGTGACTATTACACAACTACTCCTAACAAAACTTCGTTGCATTAGTTTATTTTACTTAACAATAGCATATCAACCTCAATCATATCAGATATCTCTTGATTTTTCAGTCCTTGCCATTCGGTGGCGTGAAAGAGAGTGGATTCGGTCGATTTGCGGGCGTTGAAGGATTACGAGCTTGTTGTCTCGTCAAAGCAGTTGTTGAAGATAGGTGGTGGCCATACATTCAGACTAAGCATCCTAAGCCTCTTACGGTTAGCCATTAAGAATTTTAATAAGTACTTTTTGCTCTTTATTTTGTATGCCCATTGAAATTGTTCGTATTCTTTCTCGACTAGTATCCTGTGGCAGACAATGCTTTCGAGTTTCAAATGTCGCTCGTTGAAGCAACGTACGGGCTGAACATATGGGATCGATTGAGAGCATTGGTCAATGTCCTAAAGATGCTTTCCGAGCAGAACACTCCGGCTAAAGACAACTCTGCCGTTGATGATGGAAGTAAGAGAGCTGATTGAGGGGATATTGGATTTGCAATAGATTATAATATGTTACATTCACCTAGAAGATGGTGTTCTTGGAGGTACTTTTAGAATTTTCCTCTTTATTTAGTACTTTTTGTTTTGATTATAACCAGGGTTCTAAAGTGCTTAACAACCTAGTACTTTTGATGTTTGATTATGTAATTTTGGAAGTGCTTACTTGAGCTGATGAGGCAAAAGCACCATTCAAATGCTTACTATAACATAAGCATTTTAAGGTGCTTTTTATTTGTTTTTCCAAGCACTTTTTTATGTTTCTAAATGATTGAAAATGGGAAGTATTTGGCTTTGCCCAAAACTCTCCTATTACTGGTTTGGGCTCCGTTCTTTCAACGGCTCATCTCAAATCATCGAATGTTTGGATTTTAACTTTGCGAGCACCCACTCAAACTAGAAGTAGGCAAGAAAAAGTATCTCGCTCGGGATCTTTTTTTCATTTTGGAAGATTCAGGAGTGAAACAATCTTGTCTCTATTATTAGTTCGGATAGTTGTTGTTTTTGGTGTTTTAGTCACCTTTTAATCATAACTGAACATGTATCCAATAGAGATATCTGTAACAAAGAAATTAATAGGCTTATGTTTTTACAAGTCGGATAAAACTAATTAAATATCAATTACAATTAGGTTGAATTGTAAAATTTGGCCAATAATTTCCTTCATTCTTTCTTCTTTTTTTTTTTGGCAATTCAGGGCCTCTTTTTAACTTTTACAAATTTTCTATTCTATCTCGTGTTTCAGAAATAAATTTCAAATTTTGATTTATTTTATATTATTGCTCATCTTTTGTAACACATTTTCCCCCCGAACATTGACCTTTTCTCCCAGCTATAGCCAAACTAGACTAGTCGTTTCTGTTCAAGCTTTCATCACATGGACGAGAACCAAGTGCCTAATTCCATTTTTTGCATCTCATATAGCTGTCAAATCTTAACTTTTCTGTTATCCTTACGAATTGAATGATAAACTCAAGGCAATAGGCTTCAAATTTTGGTATGAATTATTTCATTGCCTCCAAAACATGCATGCATGCATGCTTAGATAATTGGATTACAGACATAAAATAAACCATCAAAACTGCGCCTTGAAATCGGCTATGGCAATAACGAATAGGCTTTATTCAAAAAGCATTAACCTAACTTGGCTTTATCCAAACATAACACTTACGAAGAAAAACATCAACTTAAATTTATACATGCATGAGAAAAGAGCAAAGGAAGGAGATGCTTAAAACTCAATTATTAGAAGAAAAAAAGCCCAAACTTCAGTTTACACAAAACAACTCATAGATTCGCCATAACATTCCCCCAGAGAGCGTCCCTAGTTCGAGTTGTTGAACGACTAAAACAAGAAGCTGAATGATCTCACATCTCTAATCTGACTACAGTTGCAATTATAATTATACATCGACCGTTCTAATTTGCTTCACTCAATCGATCGAGATTACCTTGACTAGCGTTTTCTGCTGTGCCTTCGACTCTTCCTCCTACTACGTTCATGATCAGAATCAGACTCTGATTCAGACCCCGAGTCTGAATCAGAAGAATCAGAAGACGAGCTGTACCTCCTCTTCCTCCTCCCCCTCTTCTGCTTCTTTCTCCTTCTCCTTCTTCGACTCCTTTCCGACTCCGAATCAGACGAAGAACTGTAATCTGAACTGCTTTCTTCAGAAGAATCATCAGATCCAGTAACTGATGATGACCCACTATCGGTTTCAAATACAGAAGCCTCGCTATCGCTATTGGATTTTGGTTCGGACCGATGCTTTCTTTTACTTTTCTTCTTCAATTGCTTCTTCTTGGTCTTCTTCTCCTCATCACCAGAATCTGGGTTGTCCAGCTCTAATGAGACTGCCATCTTCATCCTCAACTTCGGGTTTTTGAGTTGTTGAGTTCGAGATGGTCGGGATATGTAAACTCGTTCATTTTTGCATTCATATGTCCAGTGTCCCGACTGATAACATTTCTGGCACTGTGCAGCAGCTCCGCCCGCACTAGACATGGAGACCTTAATGTCCTTTCTTTCACCCAATCTTACTGCCTTTTCAGTACTCATCAAATACATCTGCCTCTTTGCTTCTCTTTTCTCCTGCCATCTGCTCGGCCCTTCTTCCTTTTGCCCATAAGCATTAACATTTCGAGCAGCAGCCGTAGCTGCTCGTTCAGCCTGAGCACGACTAAGGCCTTTTGCAGCACTAAGAGCCGCAGCCTTAATCCTTTCGGCAGCTGCTTGTGACTTTTCTTCCTTCTTACTAGACATGCTTTGTTTTTTCAATATCTGAATCTAAAAACACCGGCGGGGAACGATCAGAAATTGAAGGTCGTAACGAATTCCCAAAATTAAGAGCAAATTGACATTAAGAGAAGAGAAGACAACTAAAAAAAAACCGAAACGGGAAGTATTAGGTTTCGTTCTTGTAAGACATGCCGTGAATTCAACATATAAATGTAATAACCCAGGCGGAAAATAAATTGAAAGAACATGATCATAGAAAATCCCCAAATTACAAGCAGATAAATCTATCAAGAACAAAGCAAGAAAAAATTAGGGTTTCCACTACTTACCGTAAAAGGGGGAAAAAACGAGAAAACCAGATCAAATTATAGCTTAAACATAATCACAGAAAATTCTCATGTTTCTGATTGAAAGATCGTAATCGAAATAAAAGGCCGATTTACACTCTAATCGATCTGATTCGTAAACCAAAGGGGAAATCAAAAGATCGAGTGAAATTACGCAATGTTTGCAGATACCAAACGCTCACAAAACCAGCAGAAAGTAGAGGAATCGCAGTTAGAACATACCTTGCTTAGGTATCGAAGATGAAGCGGAATCCAGTTCGCATGCGAAGTAGAGAGGATCGCAGTAGAAGGCGATCTCGAATGGAACGCGAAGGAGCCGGAACGTAGGTTTTACAGTTCACACGGATTTGGTTGAGGGAGTTTTTTGGACCAACCCGATTCGGCTTGGGTCGGGTCGCAGGGAGTTTTTTTTTGGATATTTTATTTTATTTTATTTCTTTCTTTTTTTTAGTAGAGAAATACCAACCTACAAAAGCTGCTTTATTCCAACAAAAATTAAAATTAAAACAGACCAGATCAGAGCTAAACACAAGCTTTATTAAAACAAAAATCAGAAAATTTAGAACAATGAACGGATCAGATATGAAATTAGGGAGAAGACGAGTGTGGAGCAACAACGACAAGCGTGGATTAGGGAGAAGAAGAGATGAGTGTCGTGCGTCGACCGTGAGATGAAGAATAGATGATTGAGGAGGGCATATGTGATGGTCGTGATTACGTGGATGCTAGAGATGAGAAAATGGAGGGAGTCATAGCACTAAAGTAAGTCATCAATGATACGATTGTGTCTCTAAAGTAAGTCAACAATGACAATGACTAGTTTAATCGGGGGAGTGTCGCCATACGAGGTTGTGACCCTAACAGTGTCGCCATTGTGTCTCTAAAGTAAGTCAACAATGACAATGACTAGTTTAATCGGGGAAGTGTCGCCATACGAGGTTGTGACCCTAACAGTGTCGCCATACTCTAAGTTGTGACCCTAACACGCAAACCGACAAGATGCGATCTTTAGGTGGCACCCATCAGGCCATATGAGAACAATGACAGATAAGTGTCATGATGCGACCGAAGAGGATTGTGTATCATCCAACACATCAAGAAGAGGTAACACGAGTGTTGAAGACAAGCTTAGAGAGGACCAGGTTGGGCCTCATAAGTCAAGGTTTTGATATTAGTTCCAACACGTGACTTTGGAGTTAAGTCCACTATATGAAAGATGAAAGCTTGCGAGTGTTACAAGACAAACATCTCAGGTGATATGAGGTTGGTACATGCCTTGATAGAACCTGAAATGAGGAAACGGGTAGATTCATGCCTTGATAGAACCCGAATGAATAGATATTTGAGACGTCTCGCTAATATGATAGTTGTCTCTCAATAGACATGTTCAAGAAATGGTCGAGCTGTCCGAAAAGGATAATTGACACATCCATGAAAAGTTTAAGGAAAATCTGAGCGAGGAATTTGCAAGGTAGTTTTTGAAGCTGAATTATTATAAATTGGGATATGATTTTACAATAGGGAAGATCGTCTCTTAATATTCTTTTATTTATTTATTTAGTTGGCTATTCAAATTAGTTTATTTGTCATTGTTGTGAAAAACTCTATATTTCCTTCATTTACTTTTTTTTTTTCTTTTTCCTTCAAAATTTAGGCATTTTGATTTTTGGACGACTTTACCCCTTTGGTTTGAAAATTTGCATTTCATTAGATTAATTTAATTACAAATTAAAGTTCATTATTAATAACCTATTAATAAAATAGAGGATAAATAAATAAAATATATTTTTCCAAAAAAAATAAAGATAAATGGCCACAATCTTTTGAATAATAGATTTTTCATGAACTTGTGCCTATTTTACCCTTCACCAATAAGGCCAATGGAATCATACAAATTTCCAGATTTATTGGTTAAACCATTTTCTATCCCAACCAGAAGCGGATAAAAGGAACTAAATATTAAACCAAAAGTCCACAAGATGAACATCATTAGTCATCTTAATAATAAAAGACGGAATGAACATGAAGGATGAACATCCCACAATTTGTCAAATGGCTCCCCGGTACCACACTCATACCTAAAATATGCCAGCAAAAATATTTGCGGCGGTCGATACAGCAGCACCAGTGATGGCATATTGTACGATGTGCTCGTGAGAAGGCTTCTCCGATGTAAGCGCCACAGCTACGCCCGTCATGGCACCTGCAACTGCACTGTTCTTCTGCAATGGATGGAATGAAAGAATGGATCATGGATCAAGATTTCAAGACATGAGACCAGCGGGACTCAACATCGAATGTTCTCATGTGATGCACTCTTGATCAAATTTGACGTTTGAATTTGAAACTTGGTCAATTGCTTTCGATTTCTATACCGAAAATATACGTACGAAGTAATTTTAACTTATTGATTGACACTATCCTTCCCCATGAAGAATTTTAGCCCGCCTCTGCTCTAAATCATACCGCATACTTGGATCAAAACAATGAACATTTATTGATAGTGGAAGGCTTACCCAGTCATGTGCTCCACGAGCCTCCTTTAAACCGTATGTGAGACCAGAATAAACACCAGCAGCTAATCCTACAACCCAAAAAAAGAAGGAAAAAAAAAGCTGAGAGCAATAAAATAAAATTAAACAGCATAAATATGCTATGAAATCACACCACCAAACCAAAAGCTTGGTAATTCTTTTCTCGATGTACCCTTTT